ATGCCTATGATTTCGCAGAGTATAAGTCTTAACTTTTTAGGATTGTCACCAAACATCATTTGACGTAATGACCACAAGCGGAGACTATTCCTCACAACCCTCTGAACTTAAGCAAGATGAAGGTGAGCAAGTTTTTATTGAAGTATTATATACATAGCACACATTCTTTTTTACAGTGGTGTTGAGGGAATACATGTGTTACGGACACACACATAATACATTATGTAGATTTAACCATAAAATTGTAACGGTTGTGTATAATTATGGAGGAAATATAAGAATTTACACTTAGGATAACCCAGTAAAAATAAGTGTGCTGACTCTGATCTATCGAGGCATTAAGGTCACGTATCGACATTTTTCTGAGCATTTCGACGTACTTTTATAATTCGGTATTCTAGACATAAGAACAATAGTAGGTAGTGCTATTGTTATGATAAAAATAGACAGATATTAGATAATGATGCTTAGCTCACCTAAGTGAAGGTCCTGGAGCAGGCTGTTAACTTAAAAAAAAAAGACCATCTTATAAGTTTACTTCAAATATTTGTTATTTTTTAAATTATTTCCTTGACACATAAGAGATTTTATGTGGAAAAGTTCAGTCGTGGACCGTGTTCACTCCATGACCCCATGATGGAATGAACAAGATCACCATGATGGAATGAGCTAGGTCACCATGATGGAGTGAACAAGGTCACCATGATGGAGTGAACTAGGTCACCATGATGGAGTGAAAAAGGCCTCCATGATGGAGTGAGCAAGGTCTCCATGATGGAGCGAGCAAGGTCTCCATGATGGAGTGAACAAGGTCTCCATGATGGAGTGAACAAGGTCACCATGATGGAGTGAGCAAGGTCTCCATGATGGAGTGAACAAGATCTCCATGATGGAGTGAACAAGGTCACCATGATGAAGTGAACAAGGTCACCATGATGGAGTGAACAAGGTGATGAATGGTTTTGAAAACCGACAAGTTGAAGAATTGAGACACTTATGCAACATATGGGAATCTTTATTGAAGAAACGTTTCGCCACACAGTGGCTTCATCAGTCCAATAAAAAGTAGAAATGGGTAAGGAGAGGAGAAGTTTGAGGTAATCAGTCCCTCAACCTGGAATCGATATGTTCAGTCCATCACTCTTGTGTGAAGTGCAGCATAGGGACAGAGAGGTGGCTTATATACTGCAGTCAGATGAGTTGAAGCAGGAGGAGGCGGGATCACAGTGGGACCTGCCACTAGTGTAAGTAGGTCGTCGTCCAAAGGTTGGGAAAGATGATGATGGACTGATGAAGCCACTGTGTGGCGAGATTCCCATATGTTGCATAAGTGTCACAATTCTTCAACTTGTCGGTTTTCAAAAACATTCATCACATCTGTTAGACACTGCAACATCATGGGATCTTGGTACAAAGACTTCAACGCTTGCCCAACCTTTGGGCGACGACCTACTTACACTAGTGGCAGGTCCCACTGTGATCCCGCCTCCTCCTGCTTCAACTCATCTGACTGCAGTATATAAGCCACCTCTCTGGCCCTATGCTGCACTTCCTACAAGAGTGATGGACTGAACACATCGATTCCAGGTTGAGAGACTGATTACCTCAAAAGTCTCCTCTCCTTACCCATTTCTACTTTGTATTGGACTGATGAAGCCACTGTGTGGGGAAACGTTTCTTCATTAAAGATCTCCCATAAGTCTCCGATGAAGTGAACAATTCTTCAGGTGAACAAGGTCTCCATGATGAAGTGAACAAGGTCCATGATGGAGTGACAGGTACCATGTGAGTGAACAAGGTCACCATGATGGAGTGAACAAGGTCACCATGATGGAAAGTCCATATGAACAAGGTCACCATGATGGAGTGAACAAGGTCTCCATGATGGAGTGAACAAGGTCACCATGATGGAGTGAACAAGGTCACCATGATGGAGTGAACAAGGTCACCATGATGGAGTGAACAAGGTCTCCATGATGGAGTGAACAAGGTCACCATGATGGAGTGAACAGTCCATGAGGGAGTAACAGTCACCATGATGGAGTGAACAAGGTCACCATGATGGAGTGAACAAGGTCACCATGATGGTGTGAACAGTCTCCATGATGGAGTGAACAAGGTCACCATGATGGAGTGAACAAGGTCTCCATGATGGAGTTAACACAGTCACCATGATGGATAACAAGTCTCATGATGAGTGAACAGGTCACCATGATGGAGTGAACAAGGTCACCATGATGGAGTGAACAAGGTCTCCAAGTTGGAGTTAACACAGTCACCATGATGGAGTTAACAAGGTCTCCATGATAGAGTGAACAAGGTCACCATGATGGAGTAAACAAGGTCACCATGATGAAGTTGACAAGGTCACCATGATAGAGTGAACAAGGTCACCATGATGGAGTAAACAAGGTCACCATGATGGAGTTAACAAGGTCACCATAATAGTGAACAAGGTCACCATGATGGAGTAAACAAGGTCACCATGATGGAGTTAACAAGGTCACCAAGATAGAGTGAACAAGGTCACCATGATGGAGTTAACAAGGTCACCATGATGGAGTTAACAAGGTCACCATGATAGAGTGAACACAGTCACCATGATGGAGTTAACAAGGTCACCATGATAGAGTGAACAAGGTCACCATAATGAGTAAACAAGGTCACCATGATGGAGTTAACAAGGCCTCCATGATAGAGTGAACAAGGTCACCATGATGGAGTAAACAAGGTCTCCATGATAGAGTGAACAAGGTCACCATGATGGAGTAAACAAGGTCTCCATGATAGAGTGAACAAGGTCACCATGATGGAGTAAACAAGGTCTCCATGATAGAGTGAACAAGGTCACCATGATGGAGTAAACAAGGTCTCCATGATAGAGAAGGTACATATGGAGTAAACAAGGTCTCCATGTGGATAACAGGTCTCCATGATGGAGTGAACAAGGTCACCATGATGGAGTTAACAAGGTCATCATGATAGAGTAAACAAGGTCACCATGATAGAGTGAACAAGGTCCCAGGACAAAAACGTTTCCATAATAACATACCCGAGTGTTTGTTAGTGTGTCTTAACGACAACTTGTCGCTATTATATACCAGGTTTTCACCAATTTATTCTTTTCTAACTGAAGCCGTGTAGTAGCAATATAGTAATTTTTTGATAATCGAAATACAAACAATTTTTTTTTTTTTGGTAAACAAACTAGGCGAAAGTTTTAACGGACCAACTTATATAAATATCCTGTAATTTTGTTTTTACTTTTAGAAAACTATATTTATATATAGTATATAATGACTTTGATCTGATTTTCACGTCTGTATTAATTTTATCCAATCAAGGAAGGTACCTTGATGTTGAAGAGCTCTTGATCCATGGAATTGGAGTTATCCTCCCCTTGTATTGAATGTATGCTTTCTTTTTCCCCGAGACACTATATGGCCCTACGGGCTTAGCGTTTCCCCTTGAGCATAGTAATGATTATAATGATTTAACATCCTCAGTCTTTTTTTTTTAATTATTTATTCATTTCTAATTTTTATATTTGTTTCGTTTCTATTCATTTTAATGTTTTTTTACAATGTATTTGGTGTAATGTATGCATAATAGGCTCTTCAAAAAATTAACTGGGGTATATTTTGTGAGGTTAGGCTAGATTTTTTTTTTTTTTTATTCGCCGGTATTCTCCCGGCCCGGGTCTTTTCCAAGTAGTGGTGACCCGGCCTTGGCTCCCTATCTGGGGAGTGTCTCGAGACTTAAGTCTCCCATGGGAGGAGGTACAGTACCTCCTCATCTTTGGGACCAAGTGTCCCCAGGCCTAGCCACATTCCCCGCCCTCACGGGGCTCGTAGAGAGAAGCTAGGCCTCTGGTCTGCCATCTACCCGCCTCAAAGGGGCTCGTGGGGATGGCAGTCTTATGAGCTGCAGGTGGTAGCAAGCTCAGGCTCTTAGGCTAGATTGTTCTAGGTTATCCTAGATTTAACCTAGGTTAAATCTTTTTAATGTGCTATATGTGTACGTACAAAACATTCATGTTCCCTCAGAATCACTGTGCACATTTAAACTTACGTTTGTAAAACCATTTGTAAAATTTCTAAAAGAAACTTTTCTTCTGTTATTCTGTCTTGAAAAATATTTTATTTAAATGTCAGTTTAAGTTTTAGAAATAAGAGTTGCCATATTTGTAATCGATTAGGATGAAAATGCAGAATTATTTTTAGAGTACATTGGTAATGCCTCAATAAAAATACTAAAAATTCTTCAATTAACTTTAAGCACAGAAGCGGAAGACCTCGGTCAGATGACCAAAAGCTCTAGCGGCGGGTCATCATTTAACTAGACCCGCATCAGGAAATACTTGTCTGTTTCCTGACAAACCTTACCTAACCTAACCTAACTTAACCTTACCTAACCTAACCAAACCTATAAGTATAGAATAATTCGTTGCACTATCCTCATATCTTAATTAAACTTATAACTGTTTTTTTTTTTTTGACCAGGTCTAGGTCTAGGTCTGTTGGTCTTTACGACCAGAAGTACTGTAGTCTTGACAAATATGTCCAGTGTAGACTTTGCAACCAAGTCGAGTGTGGCCTAGACGACCTGGTTGGTTGGTTGGTTAATGAAGTTTAAAGTCTATCCACTACACTATCCTCATTAAGGCTGCACGTAACCTTTTCACCACCAGACAAGAATACTCTAAACCATAAAATAGGGATTAAGTTACACTCTCAGGATATATACGCTGAGAAAAATACCCTTCTCGCCGTATATATCCTCTGACCTACCTGGTCTTTGTAATATTTATTATATATATCCATCTGGTTTTTGTGGCATATAAATACATAAATAAAGCCAGCATACTAATGTTGACAAAGTGCAAGGGAGGTTATAGTATTAATAAATATTATTGTGAAACTATACAATGAATGACATACACTTCATATTTATCGCCATCGTGAGAAAGGTTAGTATACAATGATCAGCTATCATGAGTATGGAAGAGAATTATTTATTAATTAATAAACTGGTACAAATTTGTGTAGCACCTTAAAATTATAAAAACACTGAATTGTCCCAAAACCTATTGTTAAATATTTGTGAGACCAATTCTCTTGTTTCCTACAAGCATAATAAGGCCGAGAGGACAAAAGTCTGGTATATATTTCGAAGGTTTTAAAACCGTAAAATGCGTCTTTAATCTTGCAGTCAAAAAAAAATCAAAATGTTAAGTAAAAATGACATGTTGTTTTTATCTTCTTGAAGGGTTAGCAGTCTTAATTTCTCGTCACTTTTCTAATTGACTCCACAGGCAGAGTTACATTAGCCTGCACTTAGCTGTGGTAATCGTGAAATATATATGCAATGTAACACTGTGCATATCACCGCTGTGGGTAGGTAGTTGGAACAGTTTGTGGCAGTTTTTTTGTGCAGGTGGTGATACTTATTGTGTCATCTTCCACTGCTGGTCTCTTTCCACTGTAATTTAATCTACTGATGTTCTCTTTCACTTCTTTCCCACTGTCGTTCTCTTCCACTCTTATCCCACTGATGTTTTCTTTTACTATTACTCTCTACCGCTGTTGTCCTCTTCCACTCTTGTTCTCTTCCACTGCTGTTTTCTTCCACTCTTGTTCTCTTCCACTGCTGTTCTCCCGCTGTTTTCTCCCACTGGTGTTCTCTTCCACTTGTGTACCACTGCTGTATTCTCCCATTATATACCTGAAAAGTGTTAAAACATTAGACGAAGTCTGATATGCAAGTTGTAGTTTACTCATTTTTCTAAACATTGTCATACAATTAATAAGCATAAAAAATATTTATTCCCAACACACACACAGAAAAAAAAACCTTTATTAGCAAAGATGCAGACACACCTACAGACGTTCCCTTTTCTTATTTATTATTATTTTATTCGTGGGAAGCACTAAACTCGTAGGTGGCCATACAGCCCCTAAGAGGTTTCTCTTTTTCAATGCTGGAACAAAGGGATATGTAAATTGTAAAGGAGAATTGCTTCAAGAACGGAGATTATGCTCATCTAAACCAGTCTCAGACAAAAGAAATGAAATGAAACATTACGGAGACCAGATATAAAAAAATCCATGGAGAATTATTCAGCACACACACACACACACACACACACACACACACACACACACGCACGCACGCACGCACGCACGCACACACACACACACACACACACACACACACACACACACACACACACACACACACACACACTCCCATCCTTCCCTCTCACCTTCCTTAAATATTTCCTCTCAGCATGTCCTGCTGCTTCGTGCCACATCATTAACAAGATGGTAAACACTGCAGATGTGCCAAAGAATCAGTATCAGCATTATTAGCTAATGTTGATGGTATCAGTGGGTATCGACCTACTGTGAAACTGAGTATGGGTATGGATAAGTTTCAACTGACTTTGAATATATCGGTGGGTATCAGCTGATTTTTGATGGTATTAGTATAAACTCATTTGTGATGGTATCAGTATCGGCTCATTTTTTATGGTATCAGTATCAGCTCATTTTTTATGGTATCAGCGAGTATCAACAAATTTTTAATGGTATCAGCTAATATTTTATATCAGTGGGTATCACCTAATAATTTATATCAGTGGGTATCAGCTCATTTTTATGGTATCAGTGGGTATGAGCTCATTTTTGATGGTATCAGTGGGTATCAGCTAATTTTTATGATATCGGTATTGACCTAAAATTGAGTCCCCATTATCATGGGGAAGCACTAATATGTACTCACTGGAACAGGGACATACATATACATGGATGATACTGGAGGAACAGCTCTTCAATACATAAACTGCCATAACGTACTGGAGCGAGATATACGAAAGTGTAAAATAAACCCAGTGGAAAGCAGGGGCGACATGAGCACAATAAGAAAACACCGTGTCAACATCCGTGGTCCAAGAGACTTCAGCGCGCTACCAGCAGATATCAGAAATGATGCTGGAACACGTGTAAAAGTTTTTAAAAGGAAACTGGATCTCTACCTCTGTCAAGTGTCCGATCAACCAGGTTGTGATGGATATGTGATGCCAACGGTCCGCCAAAAGCAACAGCCTCGTTAATCAAACACCAGATGAGCAAAACTCATGTTCAGGCTGTGGGAGTGCCTGGGGTATGGGAGGTAATCAAGTGTTATATGCAATAAGATCACAGTAAACAGGTGATATCACAATATGCGGAACAAACACTGTGAAAAAATAGCGAAATTCCAAGCGCTTTCGTGACTTCTTACATTATCAAGGAACTATCAGTTATCAATAGTTCCTTGATAATGTGAGAAGTCACGAATACGCTTGGAATTTCGCTATTTTTCACAGTGGTTGTTCTAAATATATATATATATATATATATATATATATATATATATATATATATATATATATATATATATATATATATATATATATATATGATGGGGTCCACCTCTGGTGTAAATTGTGCGACCCATAGCCTCGGAGAAGTGGATAAAAAGGCTTCAAGGAAGAATATTTGGATTTCTTCCTGAAGCCGTTTGAATATTGCACTTCCCCTACCACCCCATCTTTTAGTATTTTTTTTTATGGTGCATTTTAGAAAAACAAGTGGAGTCGATACCCTCCATCATCATCACTTAAGGAACTGGAGACTGTTTTAGCTGAAGAATGGACAAAAATACCCCTGAAATCTATTCAAACACTGTATGAATGAATTCCTCGTAGAATTCAAGCAGTAATTACTGCCAAAGGTGGTCCAACACCATATTAAAATAAATTTGTTTAAAATTTCACCTTTGGCAGTAATTACTGCTTGAATTCTACGAGGAATTGATTCATACAATGTTTGAATAGATTTCAGGGGTATTTTTGTCCATTCTTCAGCTAAAACAGTCTCCAGTTCCTTAAGTGATGATGATGGAGGGTATCGACTCCTCACTTGTTTTTCTAAAATGCACCATAAATTTTCAATTATATTAAGATCTGGGGATTCGGGAGGCCAGATAAGATGCTCAACCTCACTGGAATGTTCCTCGTGCCACACAGAGACGATTTTAGCTGCGTGAATCGGTGCATTATCGTCCTGGAAGATATATATATATATATATAATATATATATATATATATATATATTATATATATATATATATATATATATATATATATATATGTGTGTGTGTGTGTGTGTGTGTGTGTGTGTGTGTGTACTCACCTAGTTGAGGTTGCGGGGGTCGAGTCCGAGCTCCTGGCCCCGCCTCTTCACTGATCGCTACTAGGTCACTCTCCCTGAGCCGTGAGCTTTATCATACCTCTGCTTAAAGCTATGTATGGATCCTGCCTCCACTGCATCGCTTCCCAAACTATTCCACTTACTGACTACTCTGTGGCTGAAGAAATACTTCCTAACATCCCTGTGATTCATCTGTGTCTTCAGCTTCCAACTGTGTCCCCTTGTTACTGTGTCCAATCTCTGGAACATTCTGTCATTGTCCACCTTGTCAATTCCTCTCAGTATTTTGTATGTCGTTATCATGTGTGTGTGTGTGTGGGGGGGGGCGGATACAACAATTAAAATCCACCAAGGATCAGTATTAGGATTTATGCTATTCTTAGTGTAAATGACATGCCTAGGGAGGAACAGGAGGTAGTGCTCTAAATATCTTTATCCTGGATAATGAGAAAATCGTGTGGTAGTGAATATTAATACTAAAACTTCCAGTTGTGTCATATACAGTAGTGTGCAAATTAATTGGGACAGGAGTAAATTTTGTGATTATCTTGTATGTTTTAGTCTCCGGCTTAATAATGTAGTCTGGGTTCTTTAATTTTATAAGAGTTTGCTACTGACTAATGGTAACCTTCCAGCTGTGGGGCTACTCTGCTACTCTCGTCAGTGCTACAACAGCTGTTTTACTGTAAGACTAATTCTGCAAGTGTGCTCCATGAGTGAATGTGGTTTCGCCAAATTCTCCCCTTCAGTTCATGATTACTGCTGAAATTCATGATGGTTGTTACACCTAGGAAGTATACAAGTATTGTAGCTCTTAGAAAACATGCTGATTTGAGTATCAGACAGATCACCGAAAATTTTGATCTTAGTAAAGTCAACTGTTGGTCGAATTCTGAAGAGAGCTGACGACTCTGGTAATTGTGGAGCGCTGCGTATAAGAAACGCAAGACAATACCTCACGATGACAAGGTTATCATAAGAAACAGTGCGAGAGATCCCCAAGAAAACCAGTGAAGGTCTACAGAGAGATTTGGCTTCAGCTGGCGTAAATGTTGATTTTTCAAATGTTCGACGAAGGCTCCTTGAAGTTGGCAGAACTGCCAGAAGGGCGGTAAAGAAACAATTATTGACTACTGCTGTGAAGATGTGGCGCATTCTAGAATACATGGGTACAGATCAATGGCAATGAGACGGAGCAAAGGCGAACCTCTTCAGAATGGACACATTCAACAAGCGCCAAAACACCCACCTAAGATGTTTTGGGGTAGTTTTACTACTAGAAGCCCTGGATGGCTTGTTATTGTTGAGGGAACAATGAACAGTAACAAATACAAAGCAATACTGGCAACTTATTTGCTTCCCATTGTGGACAGAGACTTTCCTGATGGAGAAGGCATTTTCCAGCAGGATCTTCCTCCACGCCACACTTTCAGAAAAAAAGATGATATTCTTTGAAGAGTCTAAGCGCTCTAAATTGGCATGGAAACTCTTCTGACTTCAACCCAGATGAGAATCTACGGGCAATAACCAAAAATATTCCCATCCATCCTTCAGATTGCAGGCACTGTACTTCCCACCGTCTGTACTGCAACATTCCTACCTATCCTTCAGAAAGCAAACACTGCAATCAAACATAACCGACAATATTTGATAAAAAAAAAAAGGGTACTAAGAACCTGGTTTGACAAAACTCTTGAAGTGTACAGGTGAACTGCAGCCTCAGTGGCCCACGTGCAGCTTTTAAACCTAGTAAGTAAGTTTATTCAGGTATACACAAATACAGTTACATAGATTATCATACATAGCAGCATATGTGTAGAGAACCTAGGATAACCAAGTAAAGTAAGACAGAGTGACTTATTTCCATTGGGGTCCTTTATTATTTCCAACCAACCAATAAACATTGGTTAATAGCATAAACGAACTCACGCGGATTATTATCATTATATTCGCAAACAAACGCAAGGCCCACAAGAGTTATGCAGCAACTAACATTGAGGAAATAGAACAGAAGACTACTGTGTATATATCGGTCTGTGACTGAGCGTGCTTTAACGGGGTCTCAAGGGTAGACTGATTTATTCTTCCATTTGATTTTTCTGTTTGGGTTAGTTTGTGCCACATATTTATACGTACAAACTATACACATACGTGTATATGTACAGTTAAGAGATGTACTCATGAATATGTATTGTTAAATGATGCACACATGTATATATATATATATATATATATATATTTATATATATATATATATATATATATAATATATATTTTATAAAGATAAAGATTTCTTTTGGATTTTTTAAACCCCGGAGGGTTTAGCCACCCAGGATAACCCAAGAAAGTCAGTGCGTCATCGAGGACTGTCTAACTTATTTCCATTGGGGTCCTTAATCTTGTCCCCCAGGATGCGACCCACACCAGTCGACTAACACCCAGGTACCTATTTGCTGCTAGGTGAACAGGACAACAGGTGTAAGGAAACGTGTCGAATGTTTCCACCCGCCGGGAATCGAACCCGGGCCCTGCGTGTGTGAAGCGGGAGCTTTAGCCACCAGGCCACCAGGCATACATACATACATACATACATACTTACATACATACATACATACATACATACATACATACATACATACATACATACATACATACATACATACATACATACATACATACATACATACATATAGGATGGGGTCCACCTCTGGTGTAAATTGTGGGACCCATAGCCTCGGAGAAGTGGATAAAAAGGCTTCAAGGAAAAATATTTGGATTTCTTCCTGAAGCCGTTTGAATATTCCACTTCCCCTACCACCCCATCTTTTGATATATATTTTTTTTTACTAATAGGAATATTTTATTACATAATATGGTACAGAAGATTTAAGAGATACATTGTTGATATAAAGGTGGCATATACGGTACATGTTGTTACGTGTGTATCACCGATTATAAGGCGAAAATCTCATCCAGCTCCTCAGAGCTGGGGCGTGTGCCCAAAATACAGCAGGCATTACCCCTTTGAACAGCCGCACTGAGCCGCTGGAACAGAAAACTAGCTGCCCTGGGATCCCTAGTTACCCTGATGAGTCTTTTTCCCAGCTCCTTAAGGAATTTAGATGCACTCTTTCCCCATAAGCCAAGGGTCTCTGAGCCTATGGGAACAAACATATAATGATGGGCAAGTTCTCCATATTTTCTAGACTTTTGGGACTCCCTGAAGCTGGCAGCTGCCCTCCTTCCTCCCTGGTGTATTGGAGATAGGTATCAGCCAAGGTAGATGCACATGTATAGTCCCACACCACCTGCTTCCCATCTGTCCAGGCTTGAAGGGTGATACCATCTGGACGCTTCTGGCTGCCATCAGATCTGCATAGTTGGGGTGGCTCCCTTACTGCTGGGCATCCAGCTGTTGTGAGGCTCCTCTTGATAATGTTATTAACCTCCTCATGTCTTGCAATCTTTCCCTCGGATTTACGGCACACAAGACCATGGTACCCGAATCGGTCTGCTGCTTCACTGCCACAAATACACCTGTGTTCAGCGAGAATAGGGGCGGCAAGTCGAAGGGCAACACCGATGCGGATGGTCTGTGGGTCGAGACGTGTGCCAAGGCTGGAGTTGGGAACAGCCAACAGAAAGTCCCCAGCATGAGGGGCTCTCACTGCCAGGAGGCGGGCTCTATCCTTCCCTGACACACTCTGAAACATTGTTGAGGCAATATTTTCCACTATTGGACCATCCCAGTGCGATTGTTTGTAGTTGTTGGGGGGAGCAGGTCTGGCTCCAGAGCCCGTTAGATTATCCCAGATCATTGCTCCGTCAATGAATTTTTGGTCCTGGACTCCTATCTTGTCCCTAAGATGTTCAGGGAGAATCGCTGCTACAAGCTCTCTGGATGCAATACACGAGGACAGAAAAGCAGGTAACGCAATCTGTGATGACTTGCGGACACCAATGCTTCCTAGTCTGACTGGAAGTGTAGCTTGGTTCCACTGCCCGTCTTCTAGAGTAAGGTTAAGTACTTTCGTAAAAATCTGCCTCAGAATACTGTCATATTCGTGCAGTATAGAGTTATCATATGAAGGTGCACATCTTAGGAAATATGTCAACCTGGGCAGACTCAAGCACTTTGTGAGAAGGTACAAGGCATCGTGGGTGTCCAGATTGCCTATTCGTTGTTCCATTCTCCTTAACTCTTCCAATTTCTTCCTGAGAATTGTGTCAATGGCATTGCTTCCCAGAGGTGCCCCTAGCAAGACACTATTTGTGGGCAATGACTGCTGCTCCTGGTAGTTTTGATCTCACTGCATTTATCACTTGTTGACTGACTGAGATGATTTCACATTTGGATGGATTCAGGATGAGACCCATTTCCTGTCCCCGTGTCATTACCTGTGTAAGGTCATGTAGGAGGGACTCTTTTGTACCTGCTAGTGTGCCATCATCTAGGAAACCAGATGTTTAGCTCGCTGGTCAGTCTGACTGTGATTTCCCTAACTGCTATACAGAAGAGAAATGGTGCAAGAGGATCTCCTTGTTGGACACCCTCCGATGATGTAATTTCATGCTCTCCAAAGAGAAGCATTGATTCCTTGCTATACCCAGCTGAAACAAAAGGGAAGAGACCAGGGAAATGTTCTTGTACTGCTGCTAATACCACGTCTCTTTTCAGGAGATTGAACGCATTCTTGAATCTAATTTTACCACTGCATTGTCCTCAGGCAGGTTGTTGATATACGCCCTTGTTGCATGAACCGCTGCTTCACTTCCTTGAGAGACCCAAAGCCAAGCTGGTTTGGTTGAAGCATCATGGCTGCCTGTGCACGAATACTTCGGACAGCAGCTTTGGATACGAGGCGGCGTAAGGTGTTGCCTACTGCAATTGGCCGAATTCCTCCATCATTCTTTTAAGTGCACAAAGTGTTTGCAACCAAAAAAGAAAGGTCTAATTTCATCAGGGATCAGACCAGCCAAGGAATTGTTGACGAACCTTGTGATCTCTGAAAGCAGTGTCTCTGCAATTTCCCCAATAACTGGATTAACCATTTCCTTTAAATGCTGTGGCCTTATTCCAGTGTAACCCCCAGCAGAGCCAATGGGAACGACATTATTGCTTTGTAAATGTCTGAGTCTTCCACTATCAATGGTTCCATAGTGGGGACAGAGGTGTTGGAACTGTTGGTGCCACTGGTTTCCCTGGCAGGGTGCTTTCCTCTATATATATATATATATATATATATATATATATATATATATATATAAATATATATATATATATATATATATATATATATATATATATATGCAATAAGATCACAGTAAACAGGTGATTTCAGAATATGCAAAACAACCACTCTGAAGAATAGAGAAATTCCAAGCGCTTTCGTGACTACTCACATATCAAGGAACTATATAGTTCCTTGATAATGTGAGTAGTCACGAAAGCGCTTGGAATTTCTCTATTCTTTCAGAGTGGTTGTTTTGCATAATATATATAATATATATA